GGACCCTTGTTAATCTGATAGTGGAGACCGTACGAGAACATGGGAACGTGTCTGGGTCAAACCGGACCAAATCCAAAACAAATTTCACTAATGCAAGAGAGACAATGGACATTATCAAATTAATTATTCCACGAGACATGGACAATGTGCTTGGGATTTCATTCTCACTATTCACATTTTTAATATATGAATGATTTATAAATATATAAAACAAAAAAAAATCCAAATTAATTGTAAGTGCAAGTGAGTTCAAGTCAAAATAATTGCCTCGTCTGTGAATATGTTAATTTAGTTAATTTTTTAGTTTATTAATTATTTTAGTGTGGTAAAAAAATTATATTTAAGATGATAGTTAATTTGTATATAATATTTTATTTTATTAATTATTTTAATCTATTTTATTTTTATTAATTATTTTAATCTAAACCTAACTTTACAAACAATCTCAATGCCTCATGTCACATTTTTTTTCTTTTATATAGGAAATCTCAAAATGCAAAGGCCGAGGTAGATTTGTGACTTGCAATGATTGAATTTTTTTGATTTTGTTTTTTTGTTTTTTTTGTTTTTTTTGTTTTTTTTTTGTTTTGGGTAAAACATCTAATTCAAAATTAATTGAAAATAAGTGGAGAGACCTAGATTTGGAGTGGGTACTGTGACAGCACCCACGTTGTCACACTCCGTGAGATTTGTTCCTATCATATTTTGATAATTCGAAAAATTTATATTATAGAGTTCATTAAGTATATCTTTCATATAAAAAATAAAATTAATTGGACAAGTATAATCCCATAATCAAACCGAATAATAACCATAAGAATTTATCAAAATTATACTAACTGTTTATTTTTCTTAAATATAAATGTGGTCTTGTTGTGAGTTACAGATGTCTAATAAGTTTGAATTTTTTTCATGAATGATTACTCAATAAATCCTACATTATGAACAATTCGAATCATTAAAATAAATTCGAAATACGCCCTCTCGATCTTGCAACACGGTGTTGTGCCCAAGTCTAACGCTCAGCACCAACACCAAATTGGGAGAGACCCTTACATTATATTAACCAAGCTTGGAATAAGACTAACTCTTAACACTCTCCCTCATATGCAATCTGGTACAACCCAGTAGCACATGGAGGTGATTGAGAGGTCCGATTGAAAGATGGACCGAACGAGAGAAATAGGCTCGAACAAAGATTTGTATCAACAGAGGTGAGAGATCACTGAAGACTTAGCTATGTTATCATGTTAAAACATCCAATTTAAAATTAATTGACGATAAATAAAGAGACCCTTATATTATTAACCAAGCTTGGGTGGGATTAAGTCAAACATTCTTAATCAAAGCAGATCAACTTGTGTTCTTGTTATTTAAAAATCAGTCAAGTCAAATCGGGTGAGTTCATTATCCCAGAACGTTGAATGAAATAATTTTTTCCATTATATTTGAGTAAACAAATGATTGTCAAAAAATTGATGAATAATTAGTTTCATCTTTGTTTTGATGAAGTATTTTTAGTTCTCTTCTAGTTTGATACAATTTTAATGAAAAGATTGAAACTCTTTTTTAACTCTTTTCATTAAATTTCAATCTGATGAAAGATTATAACTGTGTGTTAAGCCACAAATAGTCACATGCTAATAGAGTAGTGTAAATTTACTATAATTAAATTGAATCACAAAAGCGGAAGTTTTGATATTTAATCGCAACCAATGGTTATACTTAATGGCAGAGTCAAGAATTTAATATAGGGGCATTTATTTATTATAATCTCAAAATTTTTCTTCCCCAATCAATAACAATAACATAATAATAATTTTTTGAGCTAATATTAAATATTAAAAATTAATATTCATTACAAAAAGTTTATAATTTTAAACTTTTATAATTGATCCCGATGAGTTTTTATCTTTTGAAATCTTTCCATGATAGTATCATTGTCAATGCCATAAAAAATATCTCTCTCAATGTAGACAACCAAGCTATCATTCATCCATTCATCACTCAATCAGTTCCGCAACCGATTCTTCACAATGTTCATAGCTGAAATACTCTCTCAACAGTAACAGTTGCAACAGGCAAGATTAATGCTAAAATCAAGAGCAAATACACCAATGGATATACTTTGTCTCTTCCAATCTCCGCCATTTTCTCAGCAAGATCGGCAATTTCATTCAACATTGAGAACTCACTACTGGATAGAATGTCGATAATATATGTATCAAGTTGATCATTAAGTATCATGAGCTCCACTAAAGAAAATTCTTTGGGATAAAATTCAGCAAGATGAATTAACTTTTTCCTGTCAAAATTAGAGAAAGAGTTAAATGGATTCAAACATGCCACACAAAGTAACAACTCAATGTTTGACTCAGTGAAATGAGATTTAGTTCTTGAATTTGCATATCCAAAACAGTGTAGAATAACTCAACGCGATAGTGATGTAAGCTTGTAAGTTCTTGAGCAATGCGCCTTTTTTTTCCTCGAGCTACAAACATATCATCTGTAACGCCCTCAAAATAATAGATAAAACCCATCTCATGAGACATGCATTGATATAAAATAAACTAACCATTTCTATTTATCAGAGTAATTCTACAACTGTATTACATGTTAACAACAAAAGGCAAATGCCCTAAGGGTTTACAGCTTTCCAAGTTAACACTTGGTTACAAGAAAGGAAGAGTACTAACTCAATATATATTAAGCCCTTGGCTTGAATTTACATGTAATACATCAAAGTAAATAAAAGAAGAGTCTTCAACTCTCATCATCATCCAAGTTATGTCCTTGGAGGTGGTGAAAATAATGTCCCATAAAGGGTGAGCCAACGCCCAGTAGAGATATGCTAAACACAGTATGAGCAATGATTAAGACATTAGCAATTAATAAATGTTTAATTTTCATAAACCAATCCATAATCCATTTCCATTCCATGACCACTATGTTCATGTTTCATTTCAGTTTTCATTTCTTGCCAATTCCACAATTTACATCAATGGCTCAGAACCTGGCCAACCACTTATATGAGACAACGATTCATATTAAACATTTTCCATTTTTACAGTAGATAAACATATTAGTTGTATCAACATCTCAACAGATAAGCATACAAGCTGTATCCACATTTCAACAGATATGCATATTAGCTATATCAACACTTCCAATGACAAGCATATGAGCTGTATCAACACTTCCAATGATAAGCATATGAGCTGTGTCAACAAATTATCTGACAAGCATATGAGCTGTATCAGTGGAGTCCATCCCCTATCTCCTCCCAAACAACATCCGGTTTAGAGATCCATCCCTTATCTTCCCCTAAACCGTGGAGTACATCCCCTATCTCCTCCCACACACACAACATATATACACAAAGGTCATATACGCAATCAATCAATACATAACGTTAATGTATTCTATCAACTGTCATACTCTATGACATATCCAATTGATTAGTTTTAGTTTGCCTAATCATCATGCATTGTCTACAACAATCAAAACTACCCTCCACCGGTAGCCCAAGCAATTATTTCTAAACAGATAATAAAAGCTCCAACAGATAAAATATCAATGTTTTCAAAAGCGAGCGATTTATAAATCCAACTCCATCATTTCACCACATAATGAACCAATTTCATTATTTCCAACTCAATTCCATAAGTTCACAATTTTCCCAAATTAATTATACCAATTAATTTTAAACAACAAATTAGGGCTTGTACCCCCAACTCTAGATATTAACCCGAAGGTTCCAATATCACCAACCAACAACTATATCACCACTTTGAAACCCAAAATACAAGTTATGAGCCCAAAATCACAAAACCCTTTTTACACATTTTGAAACCCTAAGTCTCAAAATTTTCCAAGTTTAACACTCTGTCAAAACAACTAAAAATCTAGGTCAAAGACCATAAGAGTGAGTAGGAACCCCTACCTCAAAAGATGACACCCAATGAAGAAGATGATGAAAACGAACTTGCTCCAAACCATGAGTTTCTTGGATCAAAAGATAGTCCTCGACGATCAACAACTCTTTTGTAAAGGCCAAAGCTGAGGAAAGCACCCTAGCTAGATCAATACTTAGAGAGAAGGCAAGGTTTTAGAGAGAGAGGCTCTCAAATGGCTTTTTCGGAAAAGTAAAAGAGAGAAAAGATGAGAAAAAGTGATTTAAAACTGCCTCACAACCAACTGATATACGACATTCCCGCTCGAGCGGAAAACACAACGCTCGAGCGTCAAGAACAAAAACTAGGTCTGCTCGAGCGCAAAAAGGCCCGCTCGAGCGCCAAGACACAAGAATAAAGCACATCCGCTCGAGCGCGAAAACCAGTCCGCTCGGGTGTAGATTTCCCCCTCCCAGAACTTACACCGAAAAGGTACTACCCGCTCGAGCGCCAGAGTACCCGCTCGAGCGCTACCGCTCGAGCGTAAAGAAACCTGCTCGAGCGTAAAAATCACACCTGCAGAATTTTTGCAGGGACACGAAAAACTGGGAGTGTGCAATCCCCGCTCGAGCGCAAGAAGACCCGCTCGAGTAGACCGCCTAAAAACTGGGCAACAAGGAATTGAAACCAAGGCCTAACCAACCTGTAACAACCCTGCCCAAAACATCCTAAAACTCAATCAAGCGGAATTAAAGGACGACAACAAGATAGATACAACTACCAACTTCACGGAACCAAGTCCGAAACACAACAGAATAGTAAAGGGACAACCGGGATCGCTATATCATCCATTTGGGGAACATCAATTTCATACTTTTCATAAAAAGACAAAATATCATCAAGTAAAGATGTCCACCCACTCTCCCTCATCTTTTAGAGCCGTACTTTAGAAATTTGAACTAAATTCATGGCCTTAATAATATCTTCATCTTTCCTTTGTAGTGCTTGTGATAACTCATTTGTAATAGCCAATATCGTTTTCATCAAATAAAGGTTGAATACAAACTCAAATGATTGAATTGAGTCCAACAATACATTTGCTTCTGCTCATTGTTCTGAATTTGAACCATCCTCCGAAATCATTTCAGGCACATCAATCACTGTTGAAAACATACTAGCCAAGTTGACTAAAGTACTATAGTGTGAACCCCAACGTGTATTACTAGCATGTTTAAGATTAGTTTCTTGATTTAAGCCTTGCCTACTAGATAGCTCTCCAATATTAAGTGCTTCAGCAACTTTTGCAACTTGCTTCTCCCTAACAATATCTCGACGTTTACATGATGCTCTAACAACATTCACCACATTAGAAACCAAAGTGAAAAGTAAAGCAATTTGATTATAATTCTTTGTCACGGCTACAAGTATCAATTGCAATTGATGAGCAAAACAATGAACATAATATGCACAAGGATTCTCTTTCAATATAAGTGTTTTAAGACCATTGAACTCACTTTGCATATTACTAGCCCTATCATATCCTTGACCCCGTAATTTGGAAATACTCAATCCAAGTCTGGAGAATAAATTTTCCTCAGCTTGTTTGAGTGAGAGAGCATTCGTATTAGCAACATGCTCAATACCCAAAAAATGCTCAATCAACTGGCCTTTTTTGTTAACATATTATATTACAACTGCCATTTGCTCCTTGATTGATATGTCACGGGCTTCATCAATCAAAATAGAAAAAAGTGCATCACCAAGATCTCTAATAATTACATTGATAGTTTCAAATGTAGCCATATTTATAATGTCTTTTTGAATATCAGGAGATGTCAACTTGAGAGTTTGTGGAGCATTGCTCAATGCAACCACTTTGACATCTTCATTTTGATCTGTAAAAAACTTGAGAAGTTCAAGAACAATTCCTTGGTTACTTGAATTTTCAGATTCATCATGCCTACAAAACATAAGTCCTTGTCTTAGAAGAAATTTGGCACAATTAACCAATGCATTCAAACGGATTTAATACTCAATTCAAGCTTGATCAGATTGTTTGCAAAAAAATCATTTGAATATGTTAGTTTTGGTTTAACAAGTCTTGACATTTACTCAAAGCTTGATTATGAGTACTATTGGGACCTCCAACATGAGTCTGAATTTTTTCTTTTTTTTTTCAATTTGAGAAACCCTTACCAATAAAAGAATCACCACCATCTTGATCTCCAATATCGGGTTCGAAAAGATAACAAGATAAACAACATGCTGCATCTTTTGCTACGCTATACATCAACCAATTAGGAAATTCACAAAACTAAGCCTGATTAAATCGCTGAGGTTTTTGTCCAAATGCTTTTTGTGGAAAATTATGATCACGAGGTTGACAAGGACCATTTTGTGGATATGCCCTACAAATTTGGTCTCGATCATTATCATTATAGTCCATAATCCAAGGCCGCAATCCTAGATTTGCAGGAAGGTCTACTAAATTGATTTCTATGCGATTTTGTTTTACGGAAAAATAGTTATCATCTTCTTCTTGAGGAGGAGATGATTCAAACTTTGATTTTCTTTTGAAATATTTCTCCATGACTGTTTGAAAAAACTAAAAATCAAAAGAAAAATTTATAATCAAAATCACAAACCCCCACAAATCAAAATCTCTAATTTTAATACGAATAAAAAAAATTTAATTTAGCACAAATCACCACAAATCAAAATTTCTAATTTTAGCACAAATTATAACTAATCAAAATCGCTAATTTAAATATTAATCACGGTAAATTAATATTTTTAATTTTAGCACAAACAACAACAAACCAAAATCCCTAATTTTAATATAAATCACCACCAATTAAGATTCATAATTTTAGCATATCAAAATCTCTTATTTTAACATAAATAATAACAAATAAAAAAAATTTACAAATCAAAACTTAACAAATAACTATAAATTAATACTCATAATTTGTATTTAAAAGTAAAAAATAATAAATCAAGTTACCTATAAACAATGAAGAGAAAATACCAAGGTTGTAGTGTGATCCCAAATCTGTGTTATGTGATCCTAATTTGATGAATCGTGAGTCGACAAATTGCAAAGCAATAAAGGGAGACAAAGAAAATACAAAGACACATAACAAGTACTTTGAATAAATAAATAAATAAATAATTTCATACACTTTTAAGGTTTTAAGGTTTTAGCCTTGCCGTAATTGGAGTTGTATGTACTCACCCAAAAAAAAAGTTATGTGTCAATTTTTGGTTGGGATTAGGATTCCAAAAAAGAAAAAAACGTGGGTGCGTGGTGTGTCAGTGTGTTTGGATAAATTGGGAGGACTATGTATTATGTATAGGAGGGGCACTGTGTGTAAGCAAGACCCGACCAAAAAATAAATAAATAAATAAAATTTGAAAAGTCAGGGGGGCACGTGAACCCCTCGCCCCTATGTCTCTCTGCCACTGGTTATACCAACTTAACCTTTTCTAGTTATTAATTAATTTTAATTTATTTTTGTCGTTTCTTTTGTTTGTATTCTTTTATGCTGTGTTTGGTTGGAGGATTTGGGGAGGGATTTGGAAAGGGAAAGGGAAAATGTGTATGAAACTAGGTGAAATATAAACATGTTTTATTTACATTTCACCTACCTTTTCCATTTCCCTTTCCAAATCCCTCCCCAAATCCCCTCCAAATCCCCCAACCAAACATAGTATTAGGAAATTACATTTGAAAAAATAGACTCTTCTAACAAATTATACTTCGTTTTGGAATTTTTTTTTTTTTTTTTTCATATTAAACCTTGCATTTTTTAAATTGAGTTCAATCCTAGAACCACACATCATCAATCCTACCATGCATTTCACCACATTTTGATCAAACTTACCATCCTTTTCTTGTTCATCCACCACCATCTCTAATCCATTCCCGTTTCCCTCGCCACCTCGCTCTCCCTCCCCATCCAATTGGCACTTCCCCTCCTCTTCCTTTTCCCTAGCCACGTCCCCTTTCCTCCTTATACCCTCACCAACGTGCCTCTTCCCCTTCCCTTTCCCTATATTGCATTTCTTGTTAATGATAAAATCCCATTAAAGGGTCAAATTGAAGCTTTTTGTATGAACATTAGAATTGTAATCCATAGGAATATCCAATGACCTGAAAATCATGTATGTTGTTCAATGTCTTTCATATGCAATTACTTATTTATGAATATTTGTGGACAATTTCTTTTTACTTGTTTGTATACAGATTTTTTTTTTCAATGATGAAGGTGTTTGAAATTTGCACTTGCCTTGAGAGCCAAGTGTTAGTGTGAAGGGTTTGATATAATCATGAATTCAATGTTCCAATCTAATATGGTCAATTTCTTCTTAATATTTCGTTGTCATCAAGTTCTTGAAGATTGAAAGACAGTGGTGGTGTTGAGTTTTTCGGGTTGGTGGTTGATGGTGGCCTTGGTGGAGGTGAAGTGGCTATTAGTTTTGGGTTTGTGGTTGGTGATCTGGTGGGAACTTTGTTGGCGAAGTGAGTTGCCATGTGAAAAGAAAAATACAGTGAGATAAGGAAGTTCTATCATTTTCAAAGGCATGGGGGAGACAGAGATTGCGTGATCTATATACATCAGTGACAGATCCATAATGATCTAAAGTTGTTCTCTTAAGGAAACAGCTTTTTGTCACCAAATAATAATAGGAAAGAAAATTATATCATACATACTAAGGTAAGTAATGTATATTTTGATCTGTCTAAATCGACCGAATTGAATTAATCCGTCGCATTTTAGACGAATGCATGATAACAAGCAAACGGTTGCAGATTGATTATTTTCAATCTGCTTAATTTTGGCCGGATGACGGATTTGAGGTTTCTTTAATCGCAACCGAACCATCAAACCGCGAACATCTCTAGCAATTTGTAAGACTTTTTATTTTCAATTTGTTTAGATATTCTGTTATATTTTTAATTTGTTTCCAATTTGGAAATACTTTTATCAAATGGCAAGTGTTGATATTTGATATTTTTTGTGTGAAAAATATAAGGCTTAATTTTGTCATTTAAAAAAAAATCAAATTAAATAGTTTTTTAATAAAAAAAAGTAATGAAATAGTTTTGATAATGCATGGTTTTCTTATATGTATTTACTATTAGTATTTGACAATTTACTTAATATTCTTTTAGTTATATTGAGTTAGATTGTTCTCCAAAAAAAATTGTTGGCAAGTTATTGTATTATGTTCAAAATTTGTAAAAGTTTAAACCGCCAAATCAATTCACATCTATCCGTCAATCCGATGGACGGATACGGATTATTTTTTCTAATCCGCCAATCCAGCAAACGAATGGCAAATTGGAGGTTTTCTGGCCGTAAGTAAACCGTGAACACCCTTAATACACACTTCTTAATCATATTTATTTTTAATTATATTATTTTTTATTTAATTATAATATTATTTTGTGATATTTAGTTATATCTCGTGGAGTGTTTAATTATGATTTTTTTAAATTATGATTCAAAAAATATAAAATTATGTCATTTTTTTCTTTAGTTATAGTGTGCATATTGTGCACACCATTTGAAGAGTGTGCACCATAGCAGTAATAATAAAGATTCTTGGGTTAAAAAAAGTGTATTCCTTTTGGGCTTGGATTTATTTCAAATTTAAATATAAAATTGAAAAAATTTGAGAGGTTTGTGGGTTTTTTACGAGTCTCGTTTTGATATATTTAAACTGTTCATTTTGTAAGATCTTTCGTATATATCATTTAAGAAAAAAATTAAGCCAATCTAATAATCACAATATTTTCATTTTATTGTATTTGTCTAAAAATAATAATAATTTATTTTTAAAAACATATTCCTTATTATCAATTTTTTGAAAGAAAAATACGATAAAAATATTATAATTATCATATCAATTTTTTTATTTTTTTTATTTTATGAATAATATACAAGAGAAGCCTCCCACTTCTTGTGGTGGGGTCATGTTGGTTTTTGTTTTGACAATTTGTTTTTTTGCTTTTTTTTTTCAAAGTAATTAAAAACTAGTTTAAAAAATTAAATAGTGAAAAATTTAAAAATATTTTTGTGTTTATTTTCACCAAAATAACTTATATTTTAAAAAAAATACCATTTTAGTGCATTTACGAGTGGAGAGTGCAAACAACTTCTTTTCTGTTTGTTTGTTTGTGTTTTTTTTTTTTTTTCTTCTTCTTCTCCTTCTTCTTCTTCTCCTCCTCAAATGCATTTATCATTTTCTTTCCTCTATCAAATGAAAGACTTTTTTATGTAATAGTAAAACTTACTCAATTTTAAAAAGAGCCCTGCTAAAGATTTCAAAAATTCTATTAAAATTTCTTCCAAATGTTTCACATGGGGTGAGACTCACATCATGTGGGTTCTATGTGGGTCTCATATCCATGTGAGATATTTGATAAAAAAATTTGATAAAATTTTTAACATTTTTGTTTTGAAAAATATCATATATGCACATCCATGGGTGGCGCTACTAAACTTTATTAAATTATGTTTCCAAGAACAAGTTGTCACTGTTTTTTGATTTTTCAAAATTATCCTCCATGACAAACCCACATTTCAGATGATTTTAATTATCGTCTACTTTTATACATTTATCTATATTATAAGACAGAAGAGTTTTTGAATTTATGCTACATACATTTGTCCTATTAAGACATTTGAACAACTGAGATGACTTTTAATAACAACATTCAACGCTCAAAAATATGTAAATCAAACTAAGGATTTCAGATTCCCGCCCATAAACATCTTCCCCAAAGTCAGTGTAGCGACCCTAATTTTTCGTAAGTCTTCATTTATTTATTTATTTATTTATTATTATTATTATTATTATTATTATTATTAGTTACTTTATTTTATTTTTGACTTTATTAATTGCGTGGTTGCATGAGAATTTAATGTGTTGTTTAATTAATTTAATGTGATATTTAATTATATATAATTAATCCGAATATATATAATATATTATATATATATAAAAAGGTGTTATATATATTGATTATATATAGGGAAATTTTTTTTAAGGTCCCTGGTATTAAGATTTTACAGCATAAAGGACATTCAATATTTTCATAATGTCTAAAATCCCTCAAGTTGATCCCGGGAAAATTGGTCCAGAGAAATTTCTCTGGACTTCGGAATTTTTCTCTAGAGAAATTCTGGATTTATCTCTAGAGAAATTTTGAATTTCTCTAACTTCGGAATTTCTCTCTAACTTCGGAATTTCTCTGACTTTGGAATGTGTTTTAACCAAATTTCTTTGACTTCGGAAATTATCAAATGTGTTTTCATAATGTGTTTTAACCAAATTCAGAGATGACTAACAAGGACAACCTAGTGAAACAACATACTAAAGTTGCTGAAGAAGCTGTCTCAGGTTTGATGTTGATCTCTAATTGAGATATATAGAAGGAAAAGAAACTTGTGCACTTCTGCCATTCTTTTTTTTTCCTCTGGATTTTTTTTTTTGTTTGGATCTCAATGAAAGGTAATAGACATATATATATATATATATTAGGGAAGTGGGGTCTGAGTAGGTAGAGAGATAGGGAGTGTTGTATGGGTTCTATTGGGGAAAATAAGGAATAGTTTTGGAAATTGATACCCAAACGTTATCTGAAGAACAAGACGAAGGAGGGGGGCTGGGTTCTGTCGTTTACTAGCGTTGGGGTTGGTGATAGAATATCCGATATGTGAATCGAAATAGACGTTCTGTGAGTCAAATTTCTCTGATATAGGTTTAGGGACCTTAGACATCAAAAAATAATATTGTGGATCTCTTCCATTACGAAAAGTGGGAGAGGGACCCTAGACTAATTTTTTCTTATATATAACATATTATATATGTTGTATTTGTGTTGAATTTGTATAGTTTAATATTATATAATGTGTATTAGGTTAATAATCATAGTAGCTGCATTAGGAAGATAAAAAAACAAAAAAACAAAACAAAACAAAAAGGACAAAAATGGAGGGAGGCGAGAAGGAGGGCTGGCAAAGAGAGAGAGAGAGAGAGAGAGAGAGAGAGAGAGAGAGAGGGGGGGTTAATCAAAGAAAAAGAGAAGAGAAGGTTGTGTACAGAATTTTCGAGAGAAAGAGAGAGACGGGAAAGATAGGTGAGGAAGAGAGATAAAATAAAGAGTGCTTTTTCAGTAAATCCATTATCTAAGAGTGTTATTCCATAAGACCCATAGTGTTTTATAATATTCCATTAGGTCCATTTCATACAAAAAGACCATAAAAACCCTCAAACAAACATGCGGCTCTCTCTCTTTGAATGTAATAACCATCTCTCTTCCCCTCTCTATTCTTGCGCAGGAAATCACGCACAGTACCTCTACAATCCAGAAATCAAAATCCATATTCCACATCGCCTCAATGCCCAGAAGACTGCCTTCGTTCCATCGTCGCATCGTCTCATCATCTTCTCCGTCGTCCCTACGCCGAGAAGACTGTCTTCGCTCCATCTTCGCATCGTCTCATCATCTTCTTCGTCATCCCTACACCCAGAAGACTGTCTTCGTTCCTTCGTCGTATCGTCCCGTGGTCTCATCATCTTCTTTGTCGAAATGGGCAAAAAACGTAAGTATTCTACTCATTCGTGTATTTAAACCCTAAACCTCTTTATCAACAACCAACATTGTGAACTTTTACAAATATCCCCTGTTTCTATACATACAATATATAGGAGTCCATATTGTTCATACCCTAACATTTAATCTGAACCCCTCAATCGTAATCCCTAATTATATTGATTTTTTTAATCAAAAACATTACAGTTGCCATTACATTGTGTTCACAACTGTGAACATTCCAAAATGTCACTACAAGAAAAAACACTTTCCGTGACCAACATTTTGGTCGCGAAAAGTACCATATTTGGTCGCTAAAACATTTTCGCGACCAACATATGTTGGTCGCAAGTTGGTCGCTAAAGCCTCGTCACAGATAGTTTTCTGCGACCAAAAAAGCCTTTGGTCGCTAAAAGTGACCATTCGCGACTAACTTTTATGGTCGCGGAAAGTCCAATTCATATTAGCCAAAAGTAAACTTTTAGCGACCAAAGATAAGTTGGTCGCCAAAAGTCAGCGCCTTGACCCCAAAAAAATAATTCTTTTATGCTCCCTGGGACTTGAACTCCTGACCAAGGAGTCACCATGCACCCAATCCATTCTACCACTCTGCCAATAACATACTTCTTGTTCATATTTGGCAAAAAAAATATATAACCCATAAAAATTGGATTATTTATTATTTTATAAAACTTTTAATGCCTAAATAGAAAAATAGCATGTAATTACTGTAGTATCATTTTTTTTAAAATTTATCCCGCCATAACTTTCCGCGACCAACTTTTTTTTTTGGTCGCCAAAGGATAATCTTCCGCGACAAAAAAAGCCTCTGGTCGCCAATAGTATACTTTCCGCGACCAACTTTTTTTTTTGGTCGTCAAAAGGTGATCTTCCGTGACCAAAAAAGCCTTTGGTCGCCAATAGCATACTTTCCGCGACCAACTTTTTTTTTTGGTCGCCAAAGGGTAATCTTCCGTGACCAAAAAAGCCCTTGGTCGCCAATAGTATACTTTCCGCGACCAACTTTTTTTTTTGGTCGCCAAAGGGTATACTTTTCGTGACCAACTTTTTTTTTGGTCGCCAAAAGGTGATCTTCCGCGACCAAAAAAGCCTTTGGTCGCTAATAGTATACTTTCCGCAACCAACTTTTTTTTTTGGTCGCCAAAAGGTGATTTTCCGCGACCAAAAAATTGTGGTCACCAAAAGTTAAATTTTAGTCACAGAAAGTGGACTATTTGCGACCAAAAAAAATAGGTGGTCGCCAAAAGTGTTTTTTCTTGTAGTGTGTTTCTGTTGTAGTTGTTGTTGTTGAAAGCTGTGAACATTCACATTGATTGAAAATGGTTGAATAATCAAATTTTTTCAGATGTTATTCGGTTGTTGTTCAATGCTGTGAAAATTCACATGGTTGGAAAAATGTTTTGGTCAATTCTGTTTTTGTTGCTGTTGATAAAAGATGTGAACATTCACATTGAGTGAAAATGTTTGGGTAACCAAGTATTAATGGTGTTATTGTTTTATGCTGTGAACATTCACATGGATTGAAAATGTTTGGCCAATTCTATTGTTGTTCTTGTTGTTGAAAGATGTGAACATTCACATTGACTGAAATTTTTTTGAAAATCATATATTACTGGTGCTGTTGTTCTATGCTGTGAACATTCACATGGATTGAAAATGTTGGGCCAATGAGTAGGGATATTTACATTTTTTTCCCCCTATTGTGAATGTTTGCCTTGTTGGTATTGTTGATTGTTAATGGTGATCCAATAAGTTGATCCATCATTTTATATGTTTGTGTTAACATCCACATGTTCTTCAATGATGTTCATGGTTGTATAAAAATACATTGTTTTTCACACACTCACACAATATGTACATTGTGTTTGTGCTGACACTGTCAACATACACATCCATGTACAGATGTGAATGTTCACATCCATACACAAAATCTGGTCATTCACACCCATGCACACAACTGTGAACATGCACATTAGTGGCAATGATGTGAATGTTCACATCTGTTCCACTATGCTAATCACATGAGCCTTGACTTAATTTTTTTAAAATGCTCCATTTTGCAGATGTTGCACAAAAGAAAACCTTAAAGAGAAAGAGAGATGAGTACCATGTGAAGAAAGAAAACCCATAAACAAATACTAGCAGCAATGTCGACATGCGCCATGTGAACTATAGATCTAACATGACCGGACTGGTGAAATTAATGAAAAGCACCAAGTTCACACAAGAACAGCTTGGCTGCCTGCAACAAACACCATTTTGGAATTTGTTAGATGCATTGAGAAACAATAAGATCGACCTTGACAAATGCATGAAGTATGATGATGTTGTTGTGCATGTCCTACAAATGTACAAAGCTTCAAAAGATGCCTTTTACATTGGGGAGAAGAAGATGAACATACACAACAGCAACATCAAACTGATTTTTGGTGTGGACTGTGGCAGCAAGCCGATGGACATATCATATGGTGCGAAACCAAAGACTAGCATCATAAACAAAAGATGCAAAAATGTCAGCCGGTTGACTTCAAAATAGATACGCACCCTTTTGACCGAGGCATTGAAAGGCAAAAAGAAATATGACAACGAAGAAGTCGCCCGACTAGTGTGCATGTATGCTTGCCAAAAGCTTTTTTTCCCAACAAGCGGAGAGACAATAGGATAGGGCTACTACACACATATGGTCCCATTGGAAAGCATGCAAGAATATGATTGGGCCAACCAAATTAGAACAATGTTGACATCATCTATTTCCCAAAATGACAAGAAGCCAGTAAAAGTCACCGACTGTGTCATGTTATTGATGGTAAGTACCCATGTTGTCAAATAATAACATTCACATGTCCTTCAGTGTTGTTCATCTAAGCCAACTATGAACATTCACAACAGTGCCACTGATGTGAATGTCCATAGGCACATATGTTTCACAGATGTGAATGTTCATATCTGAACCACTGATGCGAATGTTCACATTCACTCATAATATAGTACTGTGAATGTTTACAATAGTGCCACTGATGTGAATGTCCATGGGCACTTATGTTTCACAAATGTGAATATTCACATCTGAACCACAGATGCGAATGTTCACATTCACTCATAATATACTACTATGAATGTTCACAACAGTGCCACTGATGTGAATGTCCATAGGCACTTATGTTTCGCAGATGTGAATGTTCACATCTGAACCACTGATGTGAATGTTCACATTCACTCATAATATACTACTGTGATGTTCACAACAGTGCCACTGTTATTAATGTTCACATATGTTGACATTACTATGCAAATGGTAAATAACAATATGTGTTTGCTGTTTTATTGAAGTATTGGTTGTGTGAGCACACAACTATTCTATAACCTCACAAGCCCAATGTTTTTCCTCACTGTGTGAAGTGAAATCTGACTGCTTTACAAAAGAAGATGAAAACCACCTCTTTGGCTGATTTGGGTTTTAATGAGGTAGGACCTTCAACTACTGATCAAAACGTTCACATTATAACATCACCCAAATATATACGTTAAGTAACATAATTTTTTAATTTTCAGGTTAATGCCGGTGAACTCTTTGCAATCCCAACAAAATTACAAAAGTTCAAGCATAAAACATTGAAGGTGGAGCCCTAAATTTATGAACCAGCCACAACATCTCCCAACCTATCTGACATCAAGGAAAAACAACACAATGGCAGCAACTCCCACTTTTCTGGGAATGGAGTGGAGCTGAAGGACGGTGATGAGGACATTCACATTCCATTTAGCAGCCCACATGATGACAGAGTTATTGTCATACCAAACACAAAACAACCTGATTTCATTGATGTGCTTATTAAAGAAAATCGGAAGGCTTGGGACGTCATAAGGCAATGGGAAGCAAAGTACAAACACCTTCAATTTTCATGGGAGTTAAGGGCAAGAGTCATAGCTGATCTTGAACATAAATTGTTCAACCAGTCCAGCCCACCCAACATGAATACTGAAATAAAAAAGTGCATGGAGCAGAAGGATGAAGAAATAAAACGCTTAACACAGCTGGTCATCGATTTAGAATGCGAGAAAACAATTCTTGAAGACCTTTAAGATGACCAGTCAGTCCACACTGTCACACAGGTTGTGGCACAGAATCAACCCTCTAGCCCAATGCAACACAATATCAGCCCACCTTCTAGGGTGAAGCGTATAAAGGAAAAAGATCGAAAAAAATATCGCTTGCCTGACTTCCAGTACCCAGACTTACCTGGCCAAAAGCAGCCCCATACAGTCGAAATGGTTGAAGATGTGGAGAAACACCCACCAGCGAAGCAGCCAAAAAAATTAACCTTGACCAACAAGTTCAAAGTCTGGAGCAAGATATCCAAACAAGACAAGCAAAAGGTCCAAGCTTTACAAAAGAGTGGAGGCGATAAGTAAGTGGCTGTACAAACACCTAATGTTAACATTCACATTCCATAATTGTCAATATTTATCATTGTGCTTATTTGTTTTGGTTTGTTCAGATCTGTGCAATGTAAATATTCACATTGGTTTGTTTATAATGCACAAGCTGCTGGTGTGGAAAGGAGATTCAAAGGCTACACATGTGTATTTTGATAATATATCGACAGAGACACACACACACCTACAGCCACAGACACACATTTTTCACCCACCACAAATAATATAATATGACCCCATGTTTGTGCAGCTCATAGATGCATATGCCTGTAGACGTCCCCGAACGCCCTGGGAGGATGGGTCCCATTCTGTTCATTTTGGGCTCACTATAGTTCGGACTCAAATTGTCACGGTTCTAAATCTGAACCAAAGAGTCCAAATCCAGCAAATTGTTTTGAGAAAACAGATTTTGAAAGAAGTGCCAAACATGGACTGCT